GAAACAGTTCTAGCAGGGCAGCCTGACTGCTTTCTGCAGGGAGATTTTAAAGGCACAAACCACATCCTGGTTGACAGCTGCAGGGGGTAGTAGAGCAAGGAAGCAGAAGGAAAAAAGTGGCAGTTAGCTGGTGCATTTTGACCTGTCTCTGGAACAGGGTCTGGTAACTTTCTAAGGAACTTTCCCATAGGAGAGGATGTATGCAGGCATCTGTTCCAAGTCTGACTATCGATGACAGCAGCAGGGACAAGATGGAGGAATCTTGGCCCAGTCACATTTCTTGTCATTTTTATTATAGTTTTGTTTTTCTTCTACCCACATTGTGCCATTCTTTCCTAAATAAGTACTGGTAAAATTATCTGTGGCAGGGAGGAAAAATTGAAGAGCAGTAGGTCTGCCTTTAATTCTGATTCTGTACCAATTTTTGCTCCTCAAATCTCAGGGATTTGTTTGTCTTTCTTTTTTCTTTTTTGACAAATAGAACTGATATCTATATTCACTGAAATTTTTATTCATACCATGAATTTTGCAGTCATTTTGTGAGTTATCAAATACATATTCACAGCAAATTTATGACAGGTTATTACTTTTATCATACAGATTCTGGGTTGAGTTGTATTCTCTATAAAAGAGCATTGATGTACTAGTACCTGTGACCCATTGGTATAAGTTCAAATGGAAACATCACATTTGTAGATGCAATGCAATTGAGATCATACTAGATTAGAGAGGTCCTAATACAATGACCTATGAAAGGAAAGGATATTGGACAGAAAGAAGCTTATGGATATTAGAAGCATATGGATATTAAGGACACAATAGAGACAGAGCAGAGATTGGAGTTATGCTACCAGCAATCCCTGGCAAACAGAAAAAATTACCTTTACATGCCCTAAGATTAACTAGTCTAGTCAATTTGTCTTCAAATACTTCATTTTCAGAATTCTCAAGGGCTACATAGCTGGTTCAGGTTTTAAATATTGGTTATGCTAGTCCTGAACACAAATGTATAGTAAGTGATCAAAAAACTGACTGAGAATTTAGTGACTCACATCCCAATAATGCTTCATGGACAGTAAGGCATCAATATACAAGTGAAGCAGTTTGCTATTCACAATATAACCACCCATCTGCCAGCCCTGCCTTGCTTGGCCAGATATCAAAAATCATACTTGAGCTGGACAAATAAAGCTATCACTGAAACTGTAGGACCAAAAACCAATCCCAGACTTATCTTGCCATTATGTATTTAAAAATTTGAGCCAAAAAATCTGAGCAACATTCTTGACAATCCCCTTCCCAGTCTTTAGTCTTCTTTTCATATATCTTATTCATCAACACCAACAGTTCTCTTGCTACATCCATGAAATCTTCATACTGCTCTCCATCTTCACACTATCACAAATATTATGTGGACTAAAATGTCTTCTCTTGCGTGGTCCACAAAAGTGTTCTCATATTTGGTGAACAGTAGTTTATAACGACTCTTCAATACACTTTCTTCAGTAAAAACAGTAATTTCTATAAAAGACAAAAATAGCAGTGAGAAGGTATTTAATATCCATTCATACTTTCCAATGTCTTTTGGAAAAGATATAAAATCTTTATATTTTATATGAAGTGGTAAATCTACCCCTCCCAATTTTTATTTCCTTTAATTCTTTTCTGTACTTTGCTCTTTAGCAATACAAAAACAACCAAAATATTTGCTCTTGTTTCATCCTCAGGACAATGAAACTTCCCTCCTTCATTCTGGAACTCTCTGTGTCTAGTATACTTCTCCATCTTTTAACTCCTGTGAAACTACATTGTTTATGAATGTCTTCTTATTCCCTGGATTACAAAGAACTCTTGTTACAGTGTTCTGTCAACTTCTTATGGAGAATCTGTAATTTACCTTGAGAAGATCTCACTTTTAACTTAACCCTATCTACCTCCCTATATACCTTAGTCATTCTTTGACTAATGTTTGTCTGTGCCTACAGACCATAAATGCCAGAGTTTAACTGTATTAGGCACAGAACATGACATATAGCAAATACCTGACAAATATTTGTTGACTCACTGAATGAATGAGTTAGTAAATTAGCATAGTCAGATAAAAATGAAAACTTCAGTCTTTTCAATTTTGTGTTGCAAATGTTAGTGACCAAAGTGTTGATTCAAAGATTTTAAAGCTGACAAATTGGAAAGAGCACTTCTGTTTTGCTGTCCATTAATGGTATTACAAGGCTTTCAAAGTATTAAAATAACAATTGAGTCTTGGCTTTCTGTAGTCAATTATTCTCTGCATTGTGACTAGTTGTGGATCTCTGCAATAGTCTCCATCTGTTGCCAAAAAGAAAAAGAAAGTAAAAGAAATGTCTTTCATGAGCAGTGACAGCTTCATTTATCTCAGTACATAAGAATATATATTTAGAATGTAGTTAGAAAGTATATTGATTTAGGAAAATGATAGTAGCAGATTCTCTTGTAGCAATTGTAACCTCTCTAGCCATGAATAGTCAACTAGCTTTACAATAGCAGTCATGAATTCCCACCTATTCAGCTGACCTTAAGTCAAGTTAGGAAGCTGTTGGTAGCCCCAATGATGTAGACTATTGCATCTGTGGAGATATCTTGCTGGGAAGGTCATTGGTATTGATTGTAGGTTTTACATCTGGGTATGGCTATTGATTACTTTTCTCTTTGGCTGTTTGCAAAGGATATGTGGATAGAATGAGAGGTAGTCCTCAGGGAGGTGGCTTCCAGATCAGATCTATTCCTATAATTTCTGTGTCCAAAGTGGGCAGTGTCTTCATCAGTAAGGTCTACCTTCAGGTTCTGGTAGGCAACCAAAGCAACAACAATAGCCTATATTATTTTGGGCAGCCTCTTGGACACCTCTCCTCTGACTAACAACTTAAATGGTGGTTTCCCTTGCCTGGCACTATGGTTTTTGTTAGTCGATGGCTCTTGTGGAAGCACTGTCACACCATGTGGTATGAATTCATTAACATACTTAAATAGTAATTCTTATGCCTAAGGCTCAATGAACATTGTGGAACAGCAGAAGAAACACTATAATAACCAGAAGACCAGAATGCCAACTTCTAGATAATGACTTCTAGAAACAACAGAGATCTTTAGCGATGAAATCTCAATAATATAGTTGCTTAAACAAGACCCAAATAATAATAATAATGCCAGTTAATACTCCAATATGGATGGTGGAAATTTTGTAAGGCCCTACTTTTAGATGAAGAGCTATCAGCAATCAATGATTGCTGAGACTAAGAGGAGCCAACTGATAGACTATGAAATCTCAAGAGGTCAGCATCAAGCAAGAGAAACCAAATAGGCTTAGTGGACTCTGGACTCTGGCTGTATATATGTGTCTCTCTGTGGTGTGTGTGTGTGTGTGTGTGTGTGTGTGTGTGTGACAATGTAACTAAAGAAGAGATCTTGAATTTGAGAGGAAGTTGGAGGCATGAGAGGACTTGGATGGGAGAGAAGGAGGGGTAGAAATGTCATAGTACTCATGTATGAAATTCTGGAAAAAGTTATTTAAAAGAAATATATTATGTTACATATACATAATCATTGATAATTTTCAACCAAAGAATTTGCCTTCACTTTCTGATTCTGTACATTGAAAGGAAATAAAAATTCTTAAATTAGAATATTAGTCTGCCGGTAATTCTGCTGCTGCGTATTTGAATCTAACAAGAAAGTCAAGTCATCCATATGCAACAAAAAGTACATTAAGATTTGCTACTTTATAAGATTTTATTTATTCCTGTTTTAAAAATTAAGAACAGTAAGAGTTGTTCAATTTTCTTATATTAAAATATGTTTAAAAGAATACCTTTTTTTTTTTCAACTGTGGGTCATTGAGACACAGGAACAAGCCCCATTCTCCAGTCATCCATATACTTAATAATGAACAGTATGGACACATGAACTACTATCAGGAAAATATTTGGTCCACATTCTAAGCACTATTTTTTACTGCTATTTTATAATTACTGTTAAACATTGAGACAAGCACATTAGATGGTGTAAAGGGTTTTTATTTGTAAGAAGGTTTTTTTCATTCCTTTATATAATAGTAGCATTTTTTGTCAATTGTTTCATCAGTTTTTAAAAATAAAAATCTTATCAACATAAACAGGTATCCTTATGCACACAAAATACAATTACACATTGGTTTACCTTGTACTAAAAATGTAATTAGAATCTGACCCATTTCTTAATATGCTATCTAAAAGAAGTGCTGTGGACAGAAAATGTGGATCTGGAGTCTGAAGCCAGACAGAAGGACAATCAAGCCAGTTTGCAGACTCTAGCATGAGAAGCAGACATAGGGTATGGTCAATACAATCTTGGAGTTTGGAAGGAGATGACATAAATTATTCACAATCAGAACTCAAAATAGTCCAACAAAGCTTGAACAAAGAAAATGCATGCTTGTTACCTACTAGGCATGGTTTATTTTGACTGACAATTTTATAAATTTTCTTAAAAGGCAAGAATCACCAGTGTAACTTCACATACAAGAGAAATATGCCAGACATCAGTTAGTAGTATTGTATGAAATGAAGTAGCAAGACATTGGCAAGATTTGGATTTTATGATCCTGGATTTGCTTACATTGAGTGTTTTGAAAGCTGTGATCTATAAAACATCTTGACTTCAGACTGTTAATTTTATTGTATGATTATTTCAAACACAGAAAATACATCTCTCCACTAAAATTATAAGTTCACAACACAGACAGAGGGAGTAGCTGTCTAGATTTGCTAATGCAACTATCATGATGTCTGAAAGATAACATATTCTCAATAAATAATTATAAACTTAGTTGGGAGGCAAATCGAGAACAGCTGCTCAAAATTGCAGCTGAATTCTCATTGCGAAGGCCTCCAAAACTGCTAAGCCAAGGCAAGAAGACAGAAGAGATACTGAACAGCAAGATCAGTGGGGCTGAATCATTAACTTGTTTTTGTTTTCTCATGAAGGATGAGATGGCCAACCTAAGAAATATCAACCTCAGAGGAAAACAAGAAGAAGAAGGAAGAGGAGGAGGAGAAAAAGAAGGAGGAAGAGGAGGAGGAGGGGGAGGGGGAGGAGGAGGAGGAGGAGGAGAAGAAGAAGAAGAAGAAGAAGAAGGAGAAGAAGAAGAAACACCTCTTAAAACTCAAAGGCAACTACTCTCAACATGTGTCGATGTTTGCTCTATTTCTTGAGACAATGCTCTGATATACTCCACATGTGTTTTACATTATAATTTCTATTCAAGATAGAGGTATGGGTCACAAAGTGATTTGCTATGTCTCAATGGAAGCTTATTTGGTCATTCTCATATTGTCAAAAAGTGTTAACATAGTTTCTAACTTGTAGTAGTGTAAGTAATGACTTAACAAACATTTTTGGGTACAGCTTTTTCCTGGTGTTTATTGCCTTAGGTTCTCAGAAATGAAATCAATTAATCAAAAGTGGTATTAAGCTGGCTCTTAATGACTTATTATTATATCTCTAGCTTAAGGCATCTCTCAATCCTCATAAGAGGCTCAGTTTCCAGTAGATGTTGATTAACACAGAGACTCACATCTGGCCAAGGAATAGAGAATGAGACTGCACAATACTCAGCCCTAAAGGGAATGTATAAGCAGCACTCCCTCTCTTCCCAAAGCTCAAGGATCATTGCTTGAAAAGGAGGTAAAAGAGTGTAAGAGCTACAGCGGAACAGAGCATTTGGACTTATGAACTTATTGCAGTTTTGACAGACTCATGAAAGCACAAACCAGAAATAAACCCAGCATGGAGAAGGGCATTGGCCACAAAATTCTACCCCAGCTGAGAAGCTCTTGACAATTGACAGTAACTGGGATAAGGAGAATCAGTTTTCTTAAAAAATGTAGCTCCTAGTGAGTTAATTACATTCTAGTGTGAAGGCCACACATTCATGACTATTTGGACAGCACAAATCCATCTCGATCAATTTAAATTAGAAAGGTATATGGACACAAAAATTGAGTAAGTATGGATAGAGGGAATATGGGAAGAGTTGTGGGAGGACATGCTGTGGATTATGCTAATTGCTAATAAAATAATTGATTGGCAGATAGCTGGGCAAGAAGAGATTGGGTAACACAGCCTGACACAAAGAAAATGATGGGCCGAGGAAGCAGTCAGCGGAGTCTCAAGGCATGCCATCCAGCTATGCAGGAAACAAGACTTGCTAGAGGATAGGTGAAGCCACAAGGCAGGTGGCAATACACAGATTAATGGAAATGGATTAATTTAAATTTAAGTTAGCTAGTACACCTGAGCTATTGACCGAGCATTTATAATTCATATTCAGTCTCTGAGTCAGTTATTTGGGACTGTGTAGTCAGGTTAGGAAATGTCCATTTACAAGGAGATAAATATGATCATGTTATGTTATATGAAAATCTCAAAAACTATTATTTAAATGAACCTGTTTATGTTGACTTGACATAATCTAAAGTCGTATGAGAGGAAAAAGCCCCATTTGAGAAAACACACACTATCTCTCTCTCTCTCTCTCTCTCTCTCTCTCTCTCTCTCTCTCTCTCTCTCTCTCTCCCTCTCTTTCTCTTCCTCTTTCAATTTCTCTTTCTCTTAAGAAGTCTTGCCTGATTATAGTTGTTGGTCAGTTCAGGCTCAGTATCCTCCACTGGAAGCAGACTTAGCTAGGATCACCCCTGTATATTGATAGTAGTTTCCATTGCCCTAGGTTCCTAGGTCATCCCAGAGGTGCCCCACATATTCCAGTTTCTCCCAGTACTTGAGTCTCCTCCCATCATGCCCCAAACTGATCCATTATATTCCCACCCCTATCAACCCCCCAATCTCCAACCTTCCTCCCACCATCCAAAAGAATGTCTATCATGTCTTTTCTATTTCTGATTTCCCAGGGAGAGCTGAATGTGCCCCTTAAACCCTCCTTGTTACTTAGCTTTTCTGGGTCTGTGGATTATAGCATGGTTATCCTTTACCTTATAGGTAATCTCCACTCATAAGTGAGTACATACCATATCTTTCCTTCTGGGTTTGGGTTACCTACTCAGGATGATCTTTTCTAGTTCTATCCATTTGCCAAAAGATTCATGGTGTCATTGTTTAACAACTGAGTAATACTCCACTGTGTAACTATACTTCATCTACTTAAGTTGTTTCCAGGTTTTGGCTCTTACAAATAAATTTGCTATGAACATAGTTGAGCAAATATCCTTGTGTTAGAGTGGAATATCCTTTGTGTATATGCTCAGGAGTGGTATAGCTGAGTATGGAGGTAGATTGATTCCCAGTTTTTTTTAATTTTGTTTATTTTAATTAGAAAGAAAATTATTTTACATGTCAATCCCAGGTCTTTCTCCTTTCCATCCTCCTCTGACCCCCCAACTAACACCCTTCCTATCCCATACCCTTTCTGCTCCCCAGAGAAGGTGAGACCTTCCATAGGGGCTCTTCAAAGTCTGTCATATTCTTTGGGATAGAGCCTAGGCCAACCCCCTTGTGTTTAGACTCAGGGAGTATCCCTCCATGTGGGATGGGCTCCCAAAGTCCATTCCTATGCTAGGGATAAGTGCTGATCCACCACAAGAGGGCCCATAGATTTTCAAGGTCTCCTTCACTGACACCCACATTTAGGGGGTCTGGATCAGTCCCATGCTGGTTCTCCAGCTATCAGTCTGGGGACCAAGAGCTCTCCCTTGTTCAGGTCAGCTGTTTCTATGGGTTTCACCAACCTGGTATGGACCTCTTTTGCTCATCCTCCTTCTCTGCAACTGTATTTCAGTTCAGCTCAAGGTTTAGCTGTGGGTGTATGCTTCTACTTCCACCAGCTGCTGGATAAAGGCTATACAGCAGCATATGAATTAGTCATCAATCTCATTATCAGGGGAGGGCATTTAAGGTAGACTCTCCTCTGTTGCTTAGATTGTTATTTGGTTCCATCTTTGTAGCTCTCCAGACATTCCCCTAGAGCCTGATTTCTCTTTAAACCTATAATGCTCCCGGTATTATATTATCTCTTATCTTGCTCTCTTCTGTTCTTCCCCCAACTCAACCTCCCTGCTCCATCATGTCTTCCTCACCCCTTCTCTTCTCCCCTTCTCATTCTCATAGTTCCCTCTCCCCTCTCCCCATGCTCCCAATTTTCTCAGCAGATCTTGTCCCTTTCCCCTTCTCCAGAAGACCATGTATGTCTCTCTTAGACTCCTCCTTGTTTCCTAGCTTCTCTGGTGGTATGGATTGTAG